ATTTTTTAGCGTGCGCAGTGAAATAGCTCCCGTTTTTATACACGCAAACCTTTGATAGATCCGGCCCATAGTCTCTCCAGCGTGTCCTGGGTCGTCCCCTGGGCCTCCTCCCGGTGGGACGTGCCTGGAACACCTCCCGAGGGAGGCGTCCAGGGGGCATCCGAAAAAGATGCCCGAGTCACACTAGTGATCTATATATTATATTCATTATTTATAATAGTATTCATCTCTATACTCATTCAGTAGAAATACCCATTTCCTGTATTTATGGAACCATTTTTTATCCTGCACTTGCTGCTTTTGCACTTCTGGTTAGACCTAAACTGCATTTCGTTGCCTTGTACCTGTACAGTACATGTGTAATGACAATAAAGTTGAATCTAATCTAATCTTAATGATACATCTTCCTTATATCCTGGGGTTACCTTTGGAATACCACAGGGATCAGTGCTAAGGCAAATACTGTATACTTTGTATATGCTCCCAATTGGTAGAACATTTACACAGCATGGGATTAACTGCAGATGATACTCTGCGATATATCTGTCAATAAATCCTGATGACACTAACCCATTACATACACTACAGGCATGTCTTGAAGACATAAAAGAGAAGGTGTTAAATCATTTTGCACCTTTTTTGAATATCTGCTTTATAAAAACATTTTGCATCTGTTTTAAGAAATGCAAAACTGTTTATATTTAGATGTTATGTACAAATCTGTACATATGAGTATGTAATGCCTTGTTTGCACCTTGCACTTTGTGCTGTTTTACATTGCGGCCAGGACATCTTAAACCATTTGTAACAGTAATTCTAAATATAAATGGATTTCTTTCCTGGTAAAAGAAAGAGTAAAAAATCTTTATATGCTTAACCATCCTTTTAGTATATCCCATACACTGTTATATAAATGTCCTGAACCCAAAGTGTTTTTCTATTGACAATGTCTGCTTTTATACTTTTTATGCAGCATCAGCAGAAAGACACAACTTTTCCTGAAACTGGAGGATTTCTTCTGGCGGGAGCATCTTTCTCCACTTTCATTACCTTATGGCATTAAAGGCAGTGGTAGGTGGATTTTGCACTGCCCTACTTTTCTTGGGTCTGTCTCATCAGGTCCTTAGCTTTTTCACCATGATGATGCTCCTAAATACTTCTCTGATAGATGTTGCCTTAAGGGCTTTGGATGGACTTAACTGCTGAGGTGTTTTAACACATAAAGCTTGCCTCTAGGGCAACTTTTCTGCTGCCTATGTGAAATCTGCTATGTGAATTATGTCTTTATGGTGGTATTAAACTGGTCAAAGGTAGAAATCAAAAACAAGAGTTTTTATATGTTGCGGAAAAATAATAAGATGGTTTACATTTAAAAAATGAAAGGTATTGTGATCTCTGGTTTCAGTTGTGGCCTAGACAGAATAAATCTTGGTCAATAGTAGAGATGCACCAATCAGATAGCAATACCTTGGATGAGTATATCAGCTGATACTGATCCAATACCACTATTGAAAGTTGAACTGTATACATTGCCATGTTAGTGAAGGCATCAGGCTTGTATAGAGATCGATAAAAAAGTGACATATAAGCAGAGATGTAAAAAATCACTAGCTGCTGTATGTAATGATGAAACCAGCTTTGAAAACATAGAATTTAAGTAACTAGACCACTGTAACCATTGCTGTGTATGATATTTCTAAAAAAAAAAAAAAAAAAAAAAAGAAATGACTCAATTAATCAATATCACAGCCAATATTGTATTGGATTGGTGAGTCTCTAGTCTACAGTTCTTTAGCTCTTGAAGATCTTCATGTGTTCTTTAAAATTATAGTTAAATAGAAATTTTAATAGATATTTACATAGGTATTTAGATTAGAGAAATGAAAAGAAAAGAAAAAAACTGTAATATACATTTAAAAAGACTGCAAAGCTTTTTATTAACTGAGCATTTTAGAGATTACAGAATAGTTTGTGTCCTGGAACAACTCAGAAATAAGTGGTTCTAAGCTTTTTAAAAAAAAAAAAAGTACTATGAAAATAGGCGAAAAATCTTTTTTTTTTAAAGTTTGGAGTGCTGCCTAGCTGCAGGTACAGCATCAGCCCAGGAATGTGCTCTCTCTTTTTTCCATTTTCTCTCTCTTGCTTTAAACCAAAAGTACTTTAAGCTTCTTTTCCCTCCTACGACTTTCCCAGCATTCCCCTTTCCTTTTGATCAAAAGCCAAAAATCTATCAAGTAAATCTTACCCAAGAAATGCAATTTGAACTCACTTGTAATGGGCGGGCGGCATCATGAGTGGAGTGTTGGCATTATCATGCTGGTTTTAGAGTATTCAACACATTCACCTTGAATAAAGAAGTATGCATGAATGGAGCAGCATTAGCAAGACAAGATTTAATTGGGGACCAGTGCAGGTTTGCTTGTGTTAGGATGGTTTTAAAAAGCACTTGCCCAATGCACAAAGTGCACATATGTCACTAAACCAATCAACGGATGAGGGTAAACACAAGAGATGTGCAAATTTTTTTTCTATTTTTACTTAAATATTTTTAGCCCTGTGGTATCTTCTCACTCAAAATGATTACATAACTTGAACACATCTTTAATGTTGTATGCATTTTAAATGAGTATTATTCCTTTAGGGCATAAGCTAAAGCTTAGCGTATTTTGACTTTTGCTTGCATGCTTAAGGTAGGAGTCATTTTCCATTATACTAAAGAATAGCTTTGACTTTAATAGAATAGTTAAGTCAGGTAAAAGGGTATTTTAGAGATCTGTGAAGATAAGGGGTCAAGTTTATGGCAAGTTTTAAAACTGGTTCAGGTTGTAAAACAATAACCAACAAACAAAAGCAAAAGCAACCAATAAAAGTAAAACCTATAAACCATCAACCTATAAAATCTCATGGGTCACAGTTCAACCTGTAAAACAATGATGGAAACTGACATTTTTAAGAAAAGATTAAGCTAAACTGCCTTCATTCTAAAAGAATACTATTAAAGAAGACTGAAGGTAACTCCGTAGAGAGCAGCTGTGCTTCAGGTACTGTACTTCACAAATCTGAGGAAAGGGAGAAATAATTAAAGCTGTTATGACAGAAACTGTCTAGTAATTGAAGTTTAAGTAAAATTATAAGGGTTGGATAATAAAAAAAAGTCCATACACGCTTAGAAGCCGTTTCATAATTGAGGTTTAGAATTTCATAACTTTTTAATGGTATAAACCTTCTACTTTTCTCCCAGAGTTGCTGTTACTTCAAGTTCTTGTTAAAACATCCAACTACCATGTGCCAGCCAGCATTGAGAAGTAAGTAACAAAGCAGCCAATTCTAACTTTTATCTGATATCCTGATCCTGTTATTTAATTTAATACAATCTAGTCATTTTATTTTACCAGTCAGATCCAATAATGTAGATTATTGTCCAGTTCAGTTCAGTTTGTAACTGTGATATGTTTTTAGCAATACAATCAATTCCTCATAATAACCAAGAAATAACAACAATGTTTTAGTGCATGGATGATTTTTCTCTTAGAAAGGCAAATAGCTTGTTTTTAAAGGAAATATAAAACATAAAGTTAAAAACCAGAGAAGGGATGTTTTAATGTGATGTTTTTCTCCACAGCCTTGGGTGCAGAACCTGCGTTGTCATTGGCAATGGATTTGTCATTAAAAACAGGTCCTTGGGAAGCATCATCAATAACTTTGATGTTGTTATTAGGTAAGTAGAGAATTTTTTTTTCTTCTTCTTCTAAAAGTATTTTTTTCTAACTAGAAAGGGGCTTGTAAAACTTATCATTCCATTGTAGAATCAATACGTTTTTCAAAATTTGAAAGTGCAAATGTGTTCTGGCCTGTGAAGATGCTGCAGTATTGAGATTAACTCAAACTTGTTTGGTAGGGATGCACCAAATATTCGGCCCCCAAAATCTTTCAGCTGAAAATGACTGAAAAGTGCATTTTTGTTTTTTTGGTTGCAACGACCAAAAATAAATTGACACATTCCCACTCCTTCTGTGGCAGTCGTGTTTGAAAAGGCAAAAGGTTTCCCAGTGATACTGCTGAGGTAGTGTAAAGGGCATAACAAAACAATTTCAGCGGTAAATAAATATTTTTGTGCTTTTGTTATTGGAAAATTTAAAATTCATTGAACTGCCTTAAGTGTAAAAAAAATACAGATTCTTATAATAGTGTTAAGAACTTACAGTAGCCAAAAACAGCTATGATTTTAATATTAACATACTTACTTATTTTGGACTTTCTGGTTTTCGGCCTGGGTTGCCTAATTTTTTCGTCTTCGGTTTCGGCCAGGAATTTTTTTTGCTGCATCCCTAGCTTTTAGATTTATTTAGCCATTCCAGTTCAATAACAGTACTTTATGTTCAGGGTTTGTGAAAAATTACATTAAGGGTGTAGGTATAACAATTTGCATTACCGTAGTAACTATGGCCTCTTAACAGATGAACATATTGCACCAAAGTTAAGATACAAAAATGAATAAAATTTTTATTGCAGCTCATTAGAGAAGGATCCAGTTGGAGCTGGCAGGAGAGTAATGATTGAGTGTATCCAAATATTTCTGTTTTTGATGCTGACAAACTCCTCTTTGAGAATCTGGAGGCCCAAATACAAGATAAAGAAAAAAAGCTTTAGTTAACCCCTTTAAAAAAATCTAACTTTACAGCCTTGGAATGAACAATCTTTATAATTTCAAATTTAACATGCAGATTTTGGCCAGTCCGCATGGTATTTTTTTTCACTTACCAGCCCGCTCTTACTAAGCAGCTAATGGTTTCCTGGCCAAGTGGACTGCAGTTATGGAAAAGTGCATGCCTGAGAGTTTAACGTCATATGGGTGGTTGTACGTAAAAAAAACAAAAAAGAAAACACAAACAGCCGTCCCTTGTAAAATCCTTTTGAGATTGAAGCTTCAAAGGTGTAGACCACTCATTTAGACAAACAATGTCAAGTTTGTGGCACAGCGTTCAGTTTTTGGTGCAGACTTGATTTAAGATCTCCCTGAGAAAAGAATGTTTCCAACAGATATACGGTAGTTATTTTTAAGGAAAACACAGACAGTTATAAAACTAAGTGCAAACTAAAAAAGGTTGCCAAAGGGAATCCCAGTCAAGTTGGTAAGACATTACTGTTTATAAAGTTTGACATTTTCGCTTTTGAAACATGTTTTACAAAGGACATTTACTGTGGCTGTCAGGCAAAAATAAATATACTGCAAACACTGCAACGATTATGCAAGCTTAAACAAACAAACCCAATTGCAACAGAATTTTTTTTTGCAAAAATCAATGATGAAAGCACAGACAACCCTAAAAAGCAAAAGATAAATCTCCTGAAATTAGTCATAAAAGCTGCAAAGTCCCTCAACCAAACGGATGTGAGCTGACCACCATGTCATTTAGAATTGCAGATTATTTTCCACCTTAAAAACACATATATCCTTTAAAATTTTTAAAGATTAGAATCACCTGTTTGAAAAAAGACATTCATTTACCTCTTCTTTATTTCCTTTCTTATTGGCACCCAGTCACGTCTTTACTGATATGACCTGGTGGTTGACTCCCCTAGTTTGATTACGTCGAGCAGATTTGAGGTGTTTAAGTTGATTTAGAATTTGCAGATTTTTTGATCATGACTTCTGTAATTTTTTCCATGATTGCAGAATCTTTCCTTTGCAGCATTCCTTTGCCATTTTTGTGAGTTTGCATGCATTTGTCATGTGTTTGTCACTTGTTTCACTGTTTGTGGTGCATTTACAATCTTGCTTGTCATGGCAGTAGACATATTTTGTGGTTGGCTAGTCGTAGCACATCCTATTGAGGTTTAAAAAAAAGTCATTTTTTTGTCACAGAAAACATGAAAAAAAGTGTGAATTAGTCTTTACAGTTTACTATATACCAATCCACGTTGATTTCACAATCCTAAGATCTGTTGGTAGAGGTAACAAATCGAACAAAACCCAAAGTACTTTCAAGCTTTTCCTAAGTAGGTCCCAAAGTGGTCTCAGGTAATAAGATTTATACTTTTTTTAACTACATGATGTGACTTTCTGGATCTTCTTTAGTTTCTGTTGTGTGTTTGCTGCACTCCACTGCAAAAAAATGAACAATGAAAAACAAACTTTTAAAGAGTACTCAGTAGGAAGGGATTCTTATTAAATCCCCTTACCTTAGATACTATAAAACAAATTTGCAGCAGACAAGCAGCAGCTTTTCCTGAAGCAGGAGGCTTTGTTTAGCTTATTTGAGCTTAAATATGTTTTTCCTATTTTTATGCATTTTGTTGCATGGGTCCGTTAGCTAAGATCTTCACCTTTTGATTCTGCTTTTTTTAATACAATTCAATTCAGTTTATTTCTATAGCTCCAATTTAAAACACATGTCATCTCAAGGCACTTTACAGTTCAACCAGATCATACAGTCAAGTTGATTCAAAGTTTTCTGTCTGAGGAAAACCAGTTGTTTGACTTATTGACTCGGATGCATTCCCTCACACTAAGCATCCATTTAGCGACAGTGGAAAAAATCCCTTTTAACAGGTAGAAACCTCCAGCAGAACCAGGCTCAGTGTGAGCGGACATCTGCCGGGGCCGACTGGGGTTCAAGGAGACAGAAGCAGAGATACAAAAAGCAACTGTAAAAGGTGGCTCCGTCCAGGAAACACACAGCCAGGCAGACAAGCTCCGTGGTAGCTCCCATTTCAGAGGATGAAGAGAGAACATCCAGCCAGTCATAGCCAGAAAAACAGGAGTACACTAAAAACAGGCTGATGTCAATAACTGAAAAGCCAACCTCCTTCCCAATGCAACTTGCCTTGACACTCAGACAGGAACTTTACTATTTGGCGGGGCTTCCTGCAGTGTTGATCAAGAGAGTATTTTTTCAACACTTGAAATGTGATTCTTGTGATGTAAAGAGTGTCTAAATATATCATTCATTACATAAATAGGACTTTCCCATGAAATATGTAGATGTAAAATGTGCTTGTTTATCTAAAACGATTCAAATATTAAATATGATATTAAATTGTAAAATGGACAAATAAATCACTAAATGTACCATTATATAAATACAAAAACCTGCATAAGTAAATTTTATTTAACATTTTTAAATTATTGTTAAATAATTAAAATACTCCTCTTAGTTACTTCACATATAGAGTGAAGTAACTAAGTGAATATGTATTTTTCGGGGTGTCACCAATTTCGTTGATTTCTACCTTTTGGGTTCCAGGCTAAAATGTTTGGAATCACTGCTTCAGGAGACTTATCAGCTTTTTTTCCCCTTTAAAACCCTGGCTTCAGATTTTAGATGACCACTTCATTCTGACCACTTTTACCATTAACGTCTCTAGCTTGCTATAAAGGTTATAGCTTAAAGATGACAACTGACACCACATGAGTAATAACAACCAAAGACTGAACCCTGAAGTCTCCCTACCACTTTTTAAAAGTAGAAGTGAAAGCGGGAGGAATTCTTTTCCCTATTTTTGTTGAAAAGTTACTGATACATCAAAACAAGTTGACCCTGGGTGATGAGAAAGTGACCTGAAGTGCATTTCTCTGGCTGCCATTGGACATGAAAGTCATATAGCCTGAGCTGGATGTCAGTGTGATCTATTACAGGACAACACTGAAAATTATGTATTTGAACTTATAGTTAAGAACTATTGGACCATGAATCCAACTAACTTCGCTCTGTTTTGACATTTGGGTAAATTCATAGTACTCTATGAAAAGCATACACAGCAAAAACATGCAAACGTTATGAAGAAAGTTGTCAGCAGATTAGCTTATGTTTTATTAACACTAGAACTACTAAATTGCGACAACAATAGCCTAGTTAAAGTGACCTTTCTCATTTAACTTCGTCCATGAATGCATCACCCAGCAGACCAGCCCCAGATGGTTTGTAAGACTGTACGAGAATTCTGCTAAAGCGAGCTAAGCTTTAATCCGCTGCAAATCTCAATCCCTTGGTCATGTAAATGCCTACATTAGCGGTAAAAACAGTCTCATTGCTAAATATTACCTTTCTGTTGACGAGTGTGTTACGTGATAGGACGAAATAAATAATATATTTGTAATTAAATGTAACTACGTGATCAGATTTGCCATATCTGTCATCGGCACAATCAGCTGATAACTGATCTGTAGAAAGAAATGGCATTCTGCGGGGTTGATTTATCTCTGTCTATACTGATGCATTGCTTTTTTTTTTTTTTTAAATCTCTTTCTCTTTGCAGAACGCTTTAAATAACCAACAGAAGGGCAGAACTATATATGTTGATATAGTATTTTGTTTATTTATTTAATAACTTATTTGTGAGGGTTTTATTCCAACCATTTGTTTTTGTGTTTTCTGAAGCTTATGCACAGTTTAACATTTATCAGGAGAATTTTTTCTATCTATCCACCTATCTGTTTAGTTTTCTTACTACTGCAATAACGGTAAAAATCCAGTGTTTTTCAGGTTGCTTTGCTGCTTTTCTTTTTACTATATTTATCTTTTTATACAATGGACTGAATATAGTATATAAAATATCTGAATACAACTTTGAGTGAATAAATTGGTTAAAAAGTCACATTTGACAGGGGTTGTGAATTACAGAATGTATTTATGGGCGAGTTTAGAATCCAGACAGAGTTTTCAAAGTAGAGAGGATGAGTTTTACTATGATGATGTCTTGCACTGTCCAAGCAGCTCTGATTGGCAGGTGAGCAGCAATATGAATACTGAACTACCAACGAACAGCAGGATTGAAGCGTTTTATTTAGGGCCCTGTCACACCGATTTAGACAGCGTATGTCCGACGTCCCATAATCTTCTAAAATGCTGGCATACACTAAGGTTTCTATGTATTTTTTCTATTTTTGGGCTAATACAAAGCGTATTCATAATGAGTCCAGAAGTTATGTCCAACGACAGCCTAACGTATACATAATGCACGGCAGCGCAATGCCCTTGACCATTACAAAGCATCAGGTAAAGCTGCTACCCTGAGAAGCAGCAATTGGAGGTGCCCTGTCTCCCTAAAAAGATTTATTTGATCACTGTATTAACCTAGCTGCTGTTTACCCCCCCTCCCAAAAAAAAAGATTAAAAAAAAAAAGAAAGAAAGAAGGTTTGCAGTCACGGCAGATTCAGCATCATGTCTACTAGGAAGTTTGATGGATGTGGTCGTGGGCGTGAACGCAGGGAGGATCCATCACACTCACCTTCTTGCTCACCCTATAAGTCTGAAGGAGAATTGACGGTTTCCTCCTGTGAACCCGCTTTAATACCAAAACTTTGCCAGTACGCCATTATGCAGTAGCTGTAAGTTAGAAACACGTTCAGTGGTCGTCTGGAAAATGTCCAATACGTTGATATGCCTGGGAGATAAGTTCTTGATAAGTTACGCATAAGTTATGCACAGTTTTGGATAAGCTGGACACCATGTCTTATGAGTAATGTACACTCAACTTATATCAACGATCAGATAACTTACCTGTAACTTATGGCCCATGTATGGCATACACTGACATGTCGACGCATGTCAACGTTTGCCAGCATGCTTAAGCGTACTTCAGCATGCTCATAACTTATACAAAACTGATACAATCCAATGTGTGCCAGCAATGTTGGCAGATTTTTCGTACGTCAGGCATACGCTGGTTTCACTGTATGTGCAAATGTTTGGTGCGCCTCCTTTATTCCAGCAGCAACGTGCATTTCCTACCTTGAGCTGAGCTTAAGCTGAAACTTAGATCTCAAGGTTGTAAATGTGACAGTTACATGAGAAAAAGGAGTTGTGCGGTGGAGATGCAAGTCTGATTTTGTGTTGGGGGAGACAGCAGCAATCAGTAAGGGGTGGCTACAAGCAGAAGGGGGCGGTAGTATGCAGAAGGGAGTTGGTGGGACAAATAATTCTGGTAGAGGGAGGGAGAAACTTCAAATCCTGGTAATTCTAGTGTTAAGAGTTTTTAAATTTGGATTAATTTGGACTTTAAAGTAGCAGTACAGTACATTTAATGTCAAGAGTAAAGCCCCATTTACACTTCAATTTTGAAACTATGACAAGAACGGTCTGAATGCGGTAACCAAAATAACTGTTGAGTGTAAATACAACACAACTCTAACTGGAACATGCCAGACACAAATGAACCGAGCTAAACTGGTACTAGTTCAGCAGGGCTCTGCACTGTTCAGTTTTGGCTCGGGTCTCTGATAACGAAGAGCACATGAGCAGACTGTGTCATCTCCTATTTACAATCAGCTGACTCATTCTTCTTCTCAGCCTATTAACAATAAATGGCATCAAAAGAGTGCAGTGCGACCGAGGCTCTCATTTAAATTTGGACGGAGGACGCTATCCAGGCAGATAAGTTCCTGAATGTTATGAGCATGGCCATTTTTGTTTGGTTAATTCCTGCCTTGAAAGCTGTAGTATCTTGGACCGCCAATAGGAGGCGAGGAACCGTGCTATCGGGATGCGTAAATGGTCGTGAGAACCAACCTCAGCACTGTTAACTGATCCAAGCTCGGTCCAAACTCTGCATGGATCGGTTTTAGAGTAGTGTAAATGGGGCATTAAGTTATGAAAACAGATAGAATAGTAGTAAAAATAAAACCATTAAAAAAAGAACACAAAACAGGCCTGATTTAGGAGAAAGTTTCTGATTCTAGTGTTTGATCTGAATGCTTCTTATTTATTTTCATGTTTTAGGTTAAATGATGCTCCGGTAAGGGGCTATGAGGAGGATGTGGGGAACAAGACCACCATGAGGTTCTTTTACCCAGAGTCCGCCTCCTACAACCCAACACTGCACAATGACCCAGACACACTCATGGTTCTGGTGCCTTTTAAACAGCAAGACCTGCGCTGGCTAAAAGAGATCATCTATAATGAGAAGAGGGTAAGGGGCGTGTGTGTGAGCAGGAACACACTCCCACACTCACATCTAAGCTCTGTGTTTCTCCTCTGTCTCAATCAAACACATTCTGTTTAGGTTTCCTTTCTAGCTAATGTCAGTCATCCATATTCGGAACAAGTACTTAGTAGGGTAAACTTGGGCAAAGCAACTGCTGTTCAGAGTTAAATGCTTTTTCCATTGCAAACATCCTTCACTCTGTTGCTCCTGGCATCTCCGGGCTCTTACCACTAGTAGTTGAAGGGTCATTACCTGCTAATTTGCACGTTGATTCAGTGCCATGCAGACATGAGGGATACAGAGCTTCCACTCAAGCTCAGCTTGCCTAAATCAAATGCTTTTACCAAGTGGAGAGATGTCCTTTGCTAAAGCATCTCTATTGCTTTCACCTTCATAACACCTTCTCTCTCCCTCTTTGTCTCTTTCTGCCTTAAAGGTCAGGAGAGGCTTCTGGAGGCCTCCACCTCAATTCTGGTTGGGCGATGTCAGTAAAATCCGAGTGCTGGACCCTCATTTTCTGCAAAAGACGGCAGATAAACTTCTCAAGATTAGATCACAAAAGGGGAAACGGGTGAGGAATTACTTTGATCTAAATACAAAAAAATATCATACTATTGTTATGGAAACAATGTGTTTAGAACAAGAACCTTAAATAAAAGTACTTAAGGTATTATTAATATAAAATACAGTGTTTGTGCATTCATAATTGACACCTGTATGCAACATAATGACCTCCTGACGCCTCCAAAGCATTAGTAAAAGTGGACTGTAAGGAATCTTGAGTGGCAGCCAGTGGATTAGCATTAGTTTTGAAACAGGTTTTTATTTTTTTAAATCAATATTAAACTAATAAACATTATATCGAGCAGCCGAAAGTCACGATATATTGCCAAATCGATTTTTGTTCCACATCCCTTCTGGAAACCAAGTTCAAGGTAATGAATTTAAAACAATAGGAAGCAGATAAAATGTCTTTTTCCCAGTGTTTTAAGTTTGCATTGAATTCAAGACAGCAGCTCTATTGTCTTTGAGTCTTTCTGGACTTTATTCCAAACAGAGGGGGAAGCATTTTTAAAGCCTCTTTTCAAAAGCTCAGTTGTAACTCTGATAACAGTCAGGTGGTTAAATCTTGAGAGCTCAGTCATGTGGGAGTTCTTGCTCAGCTGTAACCTTAACTCCAGTTTTCCCACAGGAACTTCTCTCTCTTTGTTTCTTGTCCTTGTTATTTAGTTTCCCTCCTGCTCATCACAGTTTCCCACATGAATGTTAAGAAGGTCGGATGGATGAACCACAGATTAGCTGCAGTTCCTTTCAGCTATTTGTCTTGAAAGTTTCTGTAATATGATCATTAAAAACATGTAACTTGAAATTCAGCTTTTTATATTTTAAAAGTTTTTACAGGTTTTGTAATTATGATTTCAGTAAAACATGAAGATTAGCTTCTGCTTTCAATTAGTGCCTATTGCGTTTGGAGCCACACAGCAGCCCCTGGCTAAATGGGTTTAAAAGCCAAAGTTTTGTATAAATTTCAACCAGATGCTTGCATTTGTAGAGGTAATTTTCCTTCTTTACAAAACTATGTATTGTTTTGGGTGAAACGTAACCGTATTTATGTGCAAGATGATTCGATCGGCTAAAACAAAACAAACTTAAATGGAAACATACTGCGTAAAGTTAAAAGGGCCAACTGCTGTTTTCAGTAACAATTCTGTGTTTTAAGGCCTGATACCATTACACATGTTTGGAATTAAATCTATTATTTTTATTCTGCATATTCCCTTTATTTTGGGACGGCGAGGGGGCGGGATTATTTTTTGCATTCATTAGAAATGCAACCTGTCGGAGCATGAGAAAAGAGAGGAGTGGAAAGAAAGGAATCCTAGAGGCAGTCGGCGGAGCGGGCTGACCCAACATGAGCTCTGCACATGCTGTAGAGAAAGCAATTTGGACAGGAAGTATAAGTTAAAGATGAGCTCTAAAAGTGTTTCAGCAGAACGGCTTTGCACTTTCTGTGCATGTTCTGTTTGACCCATCCGGATCTGGCTGCACTGGTTATTTCTCGTCATGGAGGACCTTTTGCTCTCAGAGTGCTGCTTATCCCCTCCAGGCGACCGTGAGGGCAATGACCCATTAGGGGGTACTCCGAAGGCTGTTGATTAACAGACGGAAGAAAGTTTTGCTGTAACTTACACATTGTTATTTTCCTGATCCTTCCACTGGCGTCCATGTTTTCCTTAGGATACAGTTAACTTTCTTCATGATAAAGAGACAAGTGTTTTTTTAGGCTTGTGATGTTTGAGTATTTGTTTTTATTTTTGTGTTGCATGCTTTTTTGTTCCTGGTTTTGAAAATACTCCTAACATAGGTTTTAATGGAAAGAAGATTTTTAAAGCTGAAAAAAAGGTAAAATCTCCCTTCAGATAAAAAAAAGGCTAAATAATGCAGACAAATTCAGGACCACATAGAGAATACTCAAACTAAGAGTTTAAAATAAAATAACCATTGTGTACAGGGTTCCCGCATGTCCTTAAAAAGTCTTAAAATGCATTGAATTCTTCAAAATAAAACTAAGGCCTTAATTGGTATTACAATGTCTTAAATCAGTCTTTTGTAGGTCTTAATTTTCAAAACATCATAAATAGGATTATTTTATTACGATTTATTTTTGTAATCTAAATAAAACGTTAAAATTGACTTTTTTTTTTTTTTTTTATAACGACTCGCCAATATTGGTTTGGTCCCGATAGCAGAACCAATAAAAGTGTTGTTGCGGCCGGGACATTTAAAACAAAGTTTGTGAATTCAGTTAAATAATTGTTAAAATACATCTGTCATTTGTGTGTTTTTAGCTTTCTTCCTGTATGGGAAGCTTTTCAAAATTTGAAACATTAGTGCAGTGGTTTATGTTAAAATAAACCTTTGGGTTAAGTTGTCACAAGCGGGTTTCTTCTTGTGTTTCTTGTAAATTTGGTCTTAAATATTTATTTCAAGTGGCATTAAAAAGTCTTGAATTTAACTTGCCTTATGCTGTAGGAACCCTGGTGTAGTGGGTTATCAAAAATGTTTCTTCATCAACATTTTGTGCGAAACAAAACTCTTATTTTGAAACAGAAACCATTCCATGGATATTTATTGTTGAATTTCCCACAAAGTTAAAGTGACCATACAGTAGGTTTGCTGCTGGCATCTTTCCCCTTTTCCTATTTAAGACTTTGCAGTTTTTGTTGTTTCAAATGAGATAGAATCCTCCAATAAAATGTAGTCCTTCAGGGCAATGCTGCTGCTGCTCCCTTTTTTTTAGGGCCTTTTTTTCATCTTGCATGAAAGTTTAAAATAAACACCCCCTTAAGCAGACATGTTTTGATTCATGTATTCTTTAGAGACTGGGGTAAGTTTAGACTGGGAAGCATGGTCTTGAGTCCAACAATCTTTATTTTTAAGGGTTAAAACTGAGATAAAATGGTTAACTTAGTGGATTGCTCAACAATGTGGTCATAGTTTTTCGTTATTGTTGTCGTTCTGCAGTTTTAGTGTCTCTTACATTTATTGTGATTGCGACACTTCTTTCCACTGCTGTGGAGTGCATTTTAGCTTCTCTCTTTATTTATTTTCTCAACATAATGTTTAGCTCTTTACTTCTGTAAGTCCTTTATTTTTTCCCCAATTTGTGGTTCATCCCAGTTTAGATGGTTGATCTTTGCAGCACCACAACAATGAACAGAAAAATCTTGAAGCTTTTCTGGAGCTAGTAGGTGGTTCATTTTGAAGTAGTTTAATCGGATGCCCATTTTACATAAAAAAATATTTATTTATATAAAAGAGCTGCAGGATTCCTCATTCAAAATATACAACATTTTTCGGCCAAACTTTTGTTTGTCATTCTGTCCGGTGTGCAGATTAGAAAATGTTAGAAATTATAACTAAAAGGACATGCAGCTAGAAATTTTTTTCTGTCTATGGGTTTGCCTTTAAAAGAATATAAAAGTTGCTGAAAAGTAACAAGTGGAAAAAGTGCTGCCAACATCAGGGGTAATTTGGATTCAAAATTGGGTTTATCAAGTCTAAATCACTTGTACACAGCTGCCGTTTAACAGCAGTAACTGCAGAGGGTCGTTAGCGATCTGATATTTGAGAGTCCCTCCTACCCAGGATCTGTTTTAAAGCCTCTGCAGGAACTGGACTGAACATTGACAGATGCTCCTCGCCCCCCTTATCTCTGAAGCTCGGGATCTGCTGCCTTTGGGCAAACAGTATTGCAACATTAAACCCAGAACTATCTGTATGATAAACATTGCAATAATTCTTCATTCCTATCTACTGCAGATCTTTAAGAAACAATAAGGTTAAAGATTACTTAATTTAGCTTGTTTACGGCAACATGTTTATATTTTTTTTTGCTGCCCATTGGGAGTGAAATGGTTCCATGCTGGAGGCGGCAGTAAGCTAATCTTAGATAAGGCTGCCCTGCCCTGACATCCACTTATCTCCTCAGCCAGTTACTTTCATTATGTTGTCTTGTCTGTACCAACCCTCCCGCCAGTCGGGGATCATGCTTCATCTTAAATATAAACATAAACCCATACAACTCAGTTTACCAAGGCAATGTATGATTAACCAGACTGACTAAAATACAATATTTATCTTTTGAGCAATTTTAAGCTTTTTTTTGTTTGTTTTTTTTTTTTTTTGTTGCTGCATTGAAAAACAAAAGTAATAAAAAAAATAAACTAAGGCCAAAAAAGTATAGTTACCTGCCCATTTTAGGACTAGAAAAAAAATTCAAAATATTTAAAAGGATATGCAGAAAAATAAAAACGTTTCAGCTTACAAAAAACAAGCTAAGATGATATCTCCATTTCTGTCTGAACGCCAGCATATTTCTTAGTGTAGATGGTGTGTTCACTTAGATGTGTAGTGTTTTTTGTTTTTTTTCCCAGTTTGACAGTTGATCCCTGATCTGTGGATCTCTATTTAATGCTCTCCTTGTCCGGTTGGTCATTTTAGGTTATGTTTTTATGGATTTTGCAGTTGTGCCACGCTTTCTCCATTCTCAGATGATTAAACTGAAAAGTGTTTTAGGAGATTTGTAAATATTGGAAAGTTTTTTTTTTATTTTTTTATAACTTAACCCTGCCTTAACCTCCTCCACATATTTCTCTTTCAACTCTCTTCTATGCTGCTTGGTCTCGATAATACTTCCAATAGTGCAGCTGAATTTGTCTTTTTAAACTACACAGTTAAACTGAAGGCTATCTGTTGCCCTAGGTTTTATTAAATTAACCAATGACATACATAACATATATAATAACTTATTAATCTTTTTCCTTCTACTTCACAGTTTAGCTCTCCTCTCTTCTGCTTTGTCAGATAAAATGTTGCAAAAACTCACTGACATTTCGTTAGCTATGTGAAAAATGTAAGGGTTGTTAACCTTTATGTTTGTCTAAATTACCACTATAAAACATTTAATGAGGTTAAGCTTCAGCCTCAGTTGTTTCTACCAGAAAGTGAATTTCTTTAGACCGGTCTTTGGTTTGCATATTGAATCATTTATTTTTAAGTAGAGTAAACACATCCTGCTATGTTGAAACAGTCAGCATTCTGTCCAAAATCCTCCCAGCAGTTAAGCAGAAAACACCCAACTGGGTGGTTTAATAAGCATGTTGTTTCTGTGTTGTAATGTGTGACAGTCATGTGTTAAGTTCTGCATGTGGTAATGTGTATAATCTGAACTAGAATCAGTTAGACTGTTCAGCTACTGATACATAATAAACAATATTTTTGCATTTAAAAGCTGTTGCTGATAAACATGAAAAAAAGAAAATGTAGCCTACTACAAAAGCAATAAGTCTTGACGTCTCTCTGCTACCATCTAGTGGTCTGTAGGAGTAAGTACTCAAATCATGCTTGAAATAAAGACACATGAGAAGGAAGGCTTTTAAGGCAATTTGACCTTTGCTGAAGATGTTTTTAAAAAAGAAAAAAAAATCTTCTTTCCTGAATACTGCTTCTTAGAATCACGTTTATAAAAAAAAATCATACAAACATGTAGGATCTTTTTCAGTGACTGTTTTTCATCAGCTATGTCTTTCCCTCCCTCCCCCCTTTGCTACAGATTTCCGTGCACCCCACCACGGGCATCCTTGCTGTCTTTGTTGCACTCAACTACTGTGACATTGTTCACATCGCTGGTTTTGGGTATCCCACTTCACAGAATGTGCGACAGCCCATCCACTACTATGGATACGACACTATGAAATCCATGAAGGTGGGCGATTGTCAAGGTTTTTTAAAGGTCTTCTGTGCCCCTCTCTCTCTCTCTCTCTCTCTGAACTAATGTGATTTTCTGTGTGCGTTGCAGAATTCCTACCATGATGTTAATATTGAAGCCAAAGCCTTAAAACGACTGGAGGATTTAGGAGCCATTTTTTACCTGCACCCACATTTATGATGCAAAGCTCTTTTCCTTTAAAGTCCAATTTCTGATCCCAGCATTAATTGTGGGAATAAGTCCTCTCATTCTAATTTGACTAAGTGCCTTTTTGCATTCGGATTAAATACTTTGCACATCAAATCTTTCTAAGGTTACTTGACTGTGAAGTTTCACTCTGGTATTTCAGCTCAGCATTTTTCAGACTTTTTTTTCATATCTAATACAACCTTGCATGACAATCTTTAACTCTGGGAACAAATTACTTCTGTGGAGGAATCCCAGAAAGTGGCCTCATAATTAGATGCAATCTTTCAAAGCCTTGCAATAAAATACATTTGTTCAAGCAGTATTGTTTGGTTTTGCTCTTAGTCTCTCTAAGGTTTGGGACTAATATTCAGGTCTGTCATCCATCCTTTTGATAGAAAAAAATATCCACAAAAATATCACATTTACTTGTGTTGTTTCATGGTTGAGGAATACTTGCTGAATTCTGCTATCATTTAATCGTTTAATTTATTTGTCCATTCTGTTAAACTGGATATTTTTGTACGTTTAAATAAATGCATAATTAAAATCTTGATCAAAGTGAGTTGCTCTGCTTTTGATTTGTGATAGTATTAGTGTTTGTTGTTCAGGAAAACGACCACAGCAAATGAGGATGCACTGAACAGGTATGTCTTAAATGTGTGATATTGCTTTTTACCACTAGATGGCACAGAGGCTCTTTTTACATTCTTCTTTAAAACAGCATACACTCTACTGCACTGCGCATGGTGCAGTCATGCAGCAGCATGTGTTGTTAAAACAGCAAACCAAACACTAATAAAAGTTTAAAAGACTATTGGGATATCTTTTCCTGCAGGCCTCTCCAGAGTAGAAGAATTTGGCTCCAGAGCCCAGGCTGTCCCTGGTGGTGAGCCTGAATATTTTTAGTCAGGATTGCTCAACCTATTGCACAAACCCAGGTTCTGATTCCAGTTAGAATACAATTCCATGTCCACTAGGGTCAGTAGTGTGTGGGGACCAGGCCTTTGCCTTAGTCTACTGCATCCTCTTTGCGCCCTGGTCTAAGCAGACCCTCATCACGGTCTTTCATGGTTGCCCTCTGCCAGTGGTGGGGCCACTAGGGGGTGGCCTCACCACTTGTTCCTTGCACCCGGCCGGGTCCCAAAAGGAATAACCTGACCCTGCTTGCTGATGAACCCCCAGGGTAAGGTCCAAGCTCTACTCCACCGGCCAACAATGAAAGTTTGATTTCTCATTAAGGCTGTAGAGCCACTCTATGCCCAATCCTTCAACCAGAACATGTTTGCCTTGTAAGACCAAAAAAAGATATTTAAGCCCCAGACGACAAAACCTCTGGGATCATCCAAGGACTGAAAAACCTTGGGTGCAAATGAGTTTTTGTATGGCCAGTTGCAAAGAGTCTTAAGTAGAAGAAAGTCACAGTTTAGAAATAGCCCCTGGTCTCAATATCTTAACAAAAAATGTTTGGTTGAGCTAAATGTGACTCAACAAGTCAACCTACAAACGTGACTGAGTCTCAATAGGTCTGTCTGTGATGAACAGGATAATGTTTCAGCAATCTGTTGCATAAGGCTTGCTCAAAATATGTTACATAAGCCACCCAGTTTATCAAGCAATTCTACCAAATGGAAAGAAAAAGGATCTAATGTAATTAGATCCTTTTGGAAGAATGTAATGAAAACAAGATATACATTTTTTTCTAGTTTCTCAACGTCATAGTACTAGTGTTAGCTGACTGACAAAGGGAAATGTAATCTGATTTCATCCAAGAGGGAACTTTTTTTTATTTCTTTTTTCATATATGTTTCTAAATACCTGGTTTCACATGTATGCTTTTTGTTGCACTGATTCACTGTTCTGGTCACAGGTTATTTTTAGGGATTTTAGCAGATTTTAAACCGGCTATTTGTGTGTTTTTTGAGTTATGAAAGCCAAAGTAAGGATCTGAAATGTTTCCGCCTAATGTCTGTAGGAAACTTATATTTACCCTCATTCAAGCTTCCAGATTTCTTCAGCATGGAAGGATCCTTGTCAGCCTAAAGGAGGAAAGTCATTAGAGTAGAAGACATTAAAAACAAAATGTTATCAGTGTTAAATATCCTCAAACTCCTTCCCAAGACTTCTGCTCTATTTTATTTATTTTAGCTGTAACTTTATTTTTTAAATTATATGTGGTAAATAGTGGATTTTTCACTGGCTACCAAGTAAAACAACCAATTTCTATTATACCTGAATCCAGACATCCAGAGTCATTAAACTACGGTTGCTAATGTTGGAGAAATAGCAAGATGTGAAAGCGGCACTCCCCCTTAGGTGACATCTGATTTTTTTGGGGTAAATTTTTCCGAATACATAAAGTATTAACTACTCTCAGCATGAAAAGATTTTACTCAATATTCACTCAAATGGTTTCTGAACAGAATTATCAACACTTTAATGAACTTTAATGAACCAAATAAATGTTTAAGAGATTTATTGTCAATGATAGTAGGTCATAAATGCTGCAGGATGAAGGCAGTAAGCAGAAGAATTATTGATTTCACGTATTATAGCCCGCCACATATATTTAAATCCACAGGCTCTCTGAATATTATATATTCATTTCTCAATGCCTATCTGACAAAGACAAGGAAATAGATGGGTTATGTTAAGACATTTTTGGTTATAGAACTGCTTTGGTTTGCCTTATGTCTTACTAATATCCTCCTGTTATATATTGACTATGTATACAGAATTTCAAAAAATATTTTCCTACAATTTCTGCACCTCTAATCTTGGAACTGTCTTACAGCAGATATATGCATCTTTTTCTCAAACTGGAGGATTTTTTATGCTGGTAGCCTCTTCGAAGCCTGCTGATGGCCAAACTGGAATGAGATCTAAACTGAGGGAATCATAATAGTTTGATTGTTGTGTTGATCTGCAGAAGTTTTTATTTATTTATTTTTTTCTGTGGGGGTGGTTTGGAAGTATTCAGCACTTTGGTCACTTTTTTAAGAAGGGGTAATTTTAACATTTGTCCTTTTGCTACACAGTAAATTCCACTGTGTTAAATATGCAGTGTCAAAGTACATTGAGTCTTTTAGAGTTATTATACAGTAACATCAACTTGAGTAAAATATACACTATGTAGAGTTCTGATTTAACACTAATTCCGAGTGGGACCAAATGCAGTCTTAAAGTGTTCCTTTAACACTTCAAAATGTACTGTGTAGGCAAGTTTATCGAAATAACACATTAGTGTAACAGGAAAATTAAAATATAAGCAGCACAATGATGGAGCAGCACAATGATGGAGGATAAAGAAAAGATTGATTGCACACTAAAGTAAAAACGTAAGACAAGGGAAATGAGCAACAACAACAGACACCTAAAAATATCAATAAGATCAAGATCAATTTAAATAAAACTTAACAAACTCATGTTCTTCTGTATTTCCCCCCCATCTTCTAGGAGCTTGTTTCAGAAAAGTGGAACTTTATGTGTATTTGTGTTTTATGTGTTAGGGTTATCGTTCTAGATATAAAGTGAACAAAAAAGCAGCTCATGGCTCTTAAGACCCTGATCCAGCAAATAAAGACTACATTTGTCCAAAAGACCAATCAGTTACAGTTATACAGTCTATGCCAAAGCATATCATTATGTAAAACAGATTTGGTCTTTAGTAGAGGGGCCATACCAGTGGCCCCTGTCTAGAATCAACCATGAAGACAAAGAAGTTAATTTACATCAAATTATCAAAGATCCAACTTAGTCCAAATATAATTCAAACCAACCCATCTTATTCCAACACATTCCAATAATTTAAGTCATATAGTTTAACTTAATCCTAATTTTAAAACATTACAGAAATGCATTTAGCTCTCATACTAACATTAGGTCATTCAGTTGAAAGCCCTTTTCTTCCTGGCTCAGCATGTGAGGATTACTTAACTAAGAATAGAGCTGCTTTGAACAATGCAAATCAAATGGGAATAGAGTAAAAAAAGAAGAAAAAAAATACTATTTTGTAAAGAAGTTATTTTAGTAGCAAGTTACTTTCTCTTTATTTTTTATCTGCTACCATCTAGTGGCCAGATAAAAAAAAAAATAATAATACCTGTGACTAAGTTCAACAGAGATAAAACATGCAGATTTTTTAAGAGACACATAATCCTTTAGAAAGTGCTAATGATGGGTTGGTAATTCTTTTTCTCCTTGAGGATTTTTTATCAGCAGTGATGGTAGGATTGTAATTTGTCATGATGTTCCAACTTTTGCAACAGATTTCTATAAATTATTTGTTGTCTTTGCTCAGCTAGTGTAAATTAGTTTACATTAAGTAGTTTACATTGTTGGATTCTGAAATCACAGTTCATCCGCAATTATAGATGCAACACTATGAAATCCATGCAGGTGGGCGGTGGTCATGCTCTTGTTTTATAAATACTTTCCCTATACCATCTCTAGTGTTTTGCAGATTAACTACCATGACCTCAAACATGAAGCAAAAGCCTTAAAAAGATGACCGTGTTCAGGAGCCATTCTTTACTTCCGCCAACATTTATGATGCAAATGATTTAGTTTTATTTAAAACAGCATTTTATCACTAAGCTTAATTGCATCGGAAATCATGACTTACACATTAAATCCTGTCTAGATTGCATGGTTGTTTGGAACTTCACTGCAGCTCTGTAGCTGAACATTTTACAGATTCTTCAAAAATCGATATACTACAGCAGAATCCTAGATCACAGTATTTGATCTGGAAAACCAATTATTTGTTGTTGTTTTTTTTCTGAGCCTAAAAGTGGCATTTTTATGTGGTTTTGTGAGTGGAAAAAAACTTGCTCAGCAATATTATTGAAAAAAAAAAAAATCTTTGTGATTCATTCATCCGTGGATTTTATGTGTATCTGTCAGCAGTACATCTATAGTTATTGTTTGGGATTTTTTTTTTCTTCTTCCCAGAAGTACATCAGTTTTAGATCAATGCTCTCTTTTTTATTTCTACTGAAAATAAAAAAAGAGGCTTTCAGTAGAAAGGCATGTTCAGTTCTGCAGGGATTTTACATTCCATATACTTCATACTTTGAAATGAAAGTAAACATCTCACAATTTTAGATTCATTATGCTTTTTATTGCATTTCTGTTAAAAGTACAAGATATTTCTTTGCTCATTTGTGACAATTTGTTTAATTTTTTTGTTTTTATTTAGAAACACATCACCATTTGATAATCATAGATGTACTAAACTACTGTATCTGCATTTCTAATTAAAGATGGCAAAGAGGGATTTCCATTCTTTCACTTGTGATGTTTAATCTTAGAATTAATTAAAATGAAGAAACATTTATTTGAAATGGATATTAAATGAAGTCCTACCACTAGATGGCACAGAGACTCTTTGCATGTATGACATAAAGCAGAGATCCTGCTGCACTGCACATGGTGCAGTCATGCAGCAGTACCTATAATGCGCCTGGGGTGGTAGGATCAGTAAAACAAGCCATACTAGTTGTGCAAAGGAAACTTGTAAACAGCTGACATGTAAAAGCATTTGAACA